CTCAAATGATGGCTAATTTACCCAGTACTGTAAGCACAAAAAAAACAAACTGTATTTTAAGGAATTGTTTACAATTTTCTAGTCATATATTTACCAGGATAATCACTATAATTTATGTAGATTACTGCAGTATTATGTTGCAAGGCTTAAAATGTTTAGAGGCTGCTCTGTGAAATCTCATTCACTGTAAGAGGCCATAGTCATATTGTTTTTATTAAATCTGACAGTGTGTAATGAGTGTTCAGTCCATCAGTCTGTCTTTGAAGGCAACGTCTGATTTATATTAAAGAACACTAAGTTTTGAACTGAATTTTGCCAGGTTTGTACTTGACAGTTCTGATTTTGTGGTTATGGTTTTAAGAAATGTGTTACATTTGATTAAAATGAGTCTAATCCGTCAAGGAAAAACTGTGAAATGCATGAAATTTGCACTAGCTGAAAGCAGAAAAGAAAAATGAGCTCTACTTTACAGTAGTTTGCCTTTATAGTTCTTACAAAGACATGCAAAAGCATCAGCAGATCTCTGAACTAAAGTGAACAATGATAGTCTTCCGGTCTCAGAAGTGTTACTTCCTGTGCATCTTTCTTTCTTTTTCTTTTTTTAAGTAAGTGTACAAGGTCACAAGTGTTTGTTTGAAATGTACAAGAAACTGCTCCATAGGAAACTGAACCACATCAAAGACAAGCTTTAAAGTCAGATGCACTTTTACACCAAAAGTTCAGGTCTTGTGCACAATTGTCATCATTTACTGAGGGTGTTATGTCATTCCAAATTATTATGACTCCATACAATGAAAGTCAATGGGGTCCAAAGTTGTTTTTTGTCCATTGTATGGGCAAAAACAGTTAAAAACATTCTTCTTTAAAACATACTTTCGTTTGTGTTCCATAAAAGAAAGTCATACCGGTTTGGAGGGACAGTAAATGATGATTTTTATTTTTAAGTGAACTATCCATTTAACTAAACCGATGAGCGCTTACGTTTTTTTGAGTGACTGGAAACAAAAGACATGATTTTCCTAAGTAGTCGCTTGTAGATCAAAGTCGGAGATGGTTTTGAACCGAAGGAAGCTAAAATGGGATGGAAACTTCAGTCACTGGTATATTTGACGGAGGAACAGTGCACCAGTGAGGGATGTGCCAGCCTCCGGTTCACTCGCCCAAATAAGCAACAGTACTTTTCCAGAATTTAACAGCCACTGGCACAAAACAGATGACGGGAGATGTTTTTCCCAGCTAGCAAGAATGTTTAAAATATCCTGGAACCCGGAATACTTCCTTGCGATCATGTCATAATAACAAAAAACAAGCCTTATCACAACAATTTATGAGAAACCTTCCAGATCGCATGGTAGCCATGTATCATATTCAATGTGAATGTTTTCACAGTAGCTTGTTGAGTAGTTGTTTAAATTGGAGGCTGACCAAAGTGGTAATTATGTCTATTATGATCATTTAAACCGAACTGCCCATTCTGTGCCAGTTCTCAGACAAGTAAGTGGTTTGCCAAATCATATTGATGCCATTATGACATTTTCCATGACCAACCTGCTCTTGAACTCCTCATTGGGTACCATCAACTCCAAATTTGCCAGGTCTGGAGATTATTTCTCTAAGGAAACATACTGTAGTAGCACAAATAAAGCATATGAACCATGTCTACTGTCTACAACCATCTTCTATTATAATTATGAGTCAGAGCGTTTCCTTTGAAAGGACTGGGGCTTGTCTGCATGTAATGGAATGCATTCGGCAATCTGAAGTCTCCAAGTATGGAAGAAGACAGTTCAAAGCAAGGGAGATTTGAAGCCCTTGCCAGTAAGTGCTCTGGATTTATAACTGTGGAGATCTTCTTCATGCCAGCGAGAGGGGAGTGGCAGATGGCTGACTTAAGCCCGTCTCGCTCTACACTTGACCGTTCATCTCCTAATGACCCTATTTAGGTCACTCCTAAATAGGAGACCCTATTTTTGGTTCACTTTATTAAATTAGACAAAAAGGGCTGAAAAGAAACTGGAGTCAGCCATATTAGACGCTCAGGATAAAAACTAATCACTTGATGAAGTGAAACATGTTTAATGAGTATGCGCTGAAGATGCCTTAAAGGAATAGTTGGCCGTAAAATGAAAATTCGGTTGTAATTTACTCACCTTCATGTCGTTTCAGTGAGGAGCACATTAGAAGATATTTTGAGAAATGTTTTTGTCCATACAATGAAAGTAAATGGGGTCCAAAACAGTGGCTTTCATTATATGTACAAAAAACATGGAGATATTTTTCAAAATATATTTGTATGTGTTCTTCACTGGAAAAAAAAATGAGCAGTGAGTAAATGATGAGAGTTTCATTTTGGGGTGAAAGGCGGCAGGGTGCACAAACCGTTCTGCTGTTATGAATCTGTTAAGCATTCAATGAACTCATTATTTATCCCAGACAGTGCAGGCGTTTTGTACATAAAGCACACACAGAAGGAATGCATTCCTATCAAAGCCTGGAGATAAACCGGACACACTGTTTATCCATGGAAAAAAATCTCAACATTCACAGACTGAACTTTAACGTATGCAATCTATTAGTCTACAATATCATAAATTATTAGCAATATTATTAAATATAAAAAATGACTATAATAGTAAAATATAAACAGTACAATTATATATATAAAAAAAATTGTAGAAAAAATTTATGGGATATTTAAGGCATTTGCTAGTCAGTGCCATTTATCAACATAATAACAAAATAATTTTAAAAATACAAACAAAAACATGTTTTATGTAATTTTATGTATTTATCCAAGAAAACACTACTGCAAGCAATCTTATAATAATTAGAATCATAATCTCCAATGACTCGGCAATTAACAGTCGGCACATCTGAGGAAATAACTAGGAAATGACTCAGTAATCTACAAATACAACAGAGCTTTTTATAACATGTTACACAGGCCTTAGACATGCAAGTGAATATGTATGTGTCTGATGTCCCACGCATCCATATGCAAATTACACGCACGCTGACTGAAAACAGATGAATTTCCTTTAGTGTTTCAAACCAAAAACACCTGCACCCTCATCTCCATTAAGAATTTACATGGCTTAAATGTTGCCACTACAATAACCACATCTGGGTCTCTGGAGCAGTGGAAGAGACAGACATGCACAAACATGACTGTTGTCCACTATAGGTGCTGATCTGTAATCTCGGAGCATCTAAAAAAGTAAGTGAATGACAGGATCTAAAATAAAACCACCAAAGAGTATCAGCGTACTCCTTTGGTAATGTAGTATTATGCTTATCACAGCACCATATATGCATGAAATTGTTAATAAAGCAGTATTTTGAAGTGTGCTAGCCAGTAGGGACTGGACCAGAGTTAGAAAAACTCTGTAAAAGGTGTAAAATGTGCTTGATCTGTGCATATTTGTCTCCTGATTCAGACGAGACAACTTTTTTCTGTGGAGAAAGCAATACAAATAGATGACTCATATTTTACCAAGAAGCTGTAGGTTACCCAAAAGGTTAGAAGTTAAAAACATCTTGATGGATTTGTTTCTTACAAACACACAGCTTTTCACTTCACAAGACATTAATTGATGGACTGGAGTGGTGTGGATTACTTGTGTATTATTGTGATGCTTTTATCAGCTGTTTGGACTCATTCTGACGGCACCCATTCACTGCAGAGGATCCACTGGTGAGCAAGTGATGTAACGCTACATTTATTCAAATCTGTTCCAATGAAGAAACAAACTGATCTACATCTTGGATGGCCTGAGGGTGAGTACATTGTCAGCAAATTTTCATTATTTGGTAAACTGTTCCATTAAGTGCATGGATGAAGCGACTGTGTGAAGATCATGGACCTAATGTGAGTCAATGTGAACCTCTAACTGCAGCTGCATCCACAACTCAATTCCTTAATGCGGATCACAAGCCTTTATCACATGCATTCCTAAGAAACTGCACCCAAGGAGATCTGAGCTGTCTTCATTTGGTTAAACTAATAGGGAGGGAACACTGATTGCTATTCTTTATATATTAAAAAAGTGCTCGTCCTGCCATTTAATAGCCTAACATTAATTAAAGGTTTACATGAAAGGATGATTTAAAAGTTGCCAATATGCAGCTTTGTGGACAACAGCCAAAATGTTGATTTATATTTTGAAATGCCATTAGGAAGTTTTTATTTTTGTTTAGATGGCTCTTATACATTTCAATAGTACTGATGGTTTTGTACTGTATACTGACACCTACTGACTTGGATGTAAGAAGTTTGTGTAACACTGGCTGAAAGTTCTATATAAAGTTTAAAAATATATATTTTTGTTACTACAATGATTAGCAACTTCTTCAATTGCATGGCACAAGTGTGTGATCCTAACATGTCAGCTGCCATCATGATGCGACCAGGTCCATGTAGAATAAAACTGTATTTCTTAAAACTTTATCTCATGTGAGAGTACATGTTTTCAATTATTTTTCTCAGAAGTCATATTTATGTCTTCATGCTTACAAATTTTTATTTAGCAAAACATGACAAAGGGCACCAGAATGCAGAATGTCAGTGTAATGGTGATAATAATAATATGAGAAAGGAATAAAAATGTCTGATAATCGTAGCCAGTTGCTCTTAATGTAAGACTAAAAGTGCAAGTAAACATTTTATATGCACAATGCACATATACACTGTGCAAGCATGTGGTGCGCAAAATCGTTTTACGCCGCGTAAACATGCGTTTATAAGTAATGTTCTCTATGTCTACGAGAAGATAAATAACAATAACTTGTGTTCAGAATAACAGACCGCAGCCTGTCAAAGTGGATATAACAAACCGGATCAATAATACATTATAATGCATGTATGGTCTTTGGAATATACGGTAGAATGACATGCACCGAATAAACAACGCGCACAGTTTCGCGCTCAGGATTTTGACATGATCATCATCATCATTCATTTGACCGAAAACAGACTAAATAAGACACAATAAAAAACGTACCCAAAAGCGCTGCTAGTGTGAAATGAACGACTCCAGAAAGCATCTTCCCGGTTCGCTGTCAGACGAGGCTACTTTCCTTAGAAGCGCAGACGCTCAACTGAGCAGCAGCCTGACTCTCTGGACGCTAACACTCAAGTCAGTTACTCTCAGAGTTAGCTAGAGGGCAATTCATCCGCAAAGTCAATGTCCCAGTGCAAGTCTACAGACCTCCTTTTGCCTGAACTACAACTTGACTGACTTTACAAAGCGTATTTGAAAGCGAGGAGTGACGGTGAGGGAGGACTCTCACTCATTCACATTCAAGTAGCTGTACTAGCAGAGTTTTAGGCAGAATTAACATTATATACAGTATGTATACATTTACAAACGTGTACACAAATAATTAAACTATTACTGATGATAACAATAATTCTTTTAAAATTATTATTACTACTACTACTATTGCTTTTATTAGCCTACAATTCTGTATATTTCACTGGTCGAGGGCAATTCATCCGCAAAGTCAATGTCCCAGTGCAAGTCTACAGACCTCCTTTTGCCTGAACTACAACTTGACTGACTTTACAAAGCGAGGAGTGACGGTGAGGGAGGACTCTCACTCATTCACATTCAAGTAGCTGTACTAGCAGAGTTTTAGGCAGAATTAACATTATATACAGTATGTATACATTTACAAACGTGTACACAAATAATTAAACTATTACTGATGATAACAATAATTCTTTTTAAATTATTATTACTACTACTACTATTGCTTTTATTAGCCTACAATTAAACTGGACATTAACTGAACTAAAATGGTGATTATAGCTTGTTTAAACTGTTCACTGGTTGGTCTAAACTAGCCATTGGTTGGTCTAATCTGGTCATTAACTGGTCACTTACTGGTCTAATTTGGTCATTAGCTGGTTTAAACTGCTCATTAACTGGTCACTAGCTGGTCCAGCCTGGTAATTAGCTGGTCTAAGGTGGTCATTAGCTCAGCTAAACTGGTCATTAACTGGTCTAAATTAGCCATTAGTTGGTCTAAGCTGGTCATTAAGATGGTCTAAACTGCTCACTAACTGGTTTAACCTAGGTAGGTCTAAACAAGTCTCTAGCCAGTCTAAATTAGTCATTAGCTATCTCGGATGGTCATTTGCTGGTCCAATCTGATCATTAATTGGTCCAACCTGGTAATAAACTGGTCTAAGGTGGTCACTAGCTAGTCTAAACTAGCCTAACCTGGTAATTAGCTGGTCTAAACTAGTCACTAAAGTCTAAACTAGTCACTAGCCAGTCTAAATTAGTCATTAGCAGTCTCAGATGGTAATTTGCTGGTCTAATTTGATCATTCCTGGTTTCAGATGGTCATTAGCTGGTCTGAGATGGTCATTAGCGGGTCTAAAATTATCATCAGATGGTCTATGCTGGTCTTCAGCTGTCTAAGCTGGTCATTGGCTAGTCTAAACTAATAATTAGCTCGTCCAAGATGGTCATTAGCTGGTTGAGGCTGGTCTAAGCTGGTTCAGCCTGGTAATTATCTGGTCTAAACTATTCCTTATTTAGTCTAAGGTGGTCATTAGCTGGTCTAAACTAGTAATTAACTGGCTTAATTCATTTAAGATGGTCATTAGCTGGTTCAGGCTGGTCTAAGGTGGTTCAACCTGGGGTGCGTTTCCCAAAAGCATCGTTAGCCAACTATGGTCACAATTTCCCGACGTTACCAACATAGTTCAATGATTCTGTGTTTCCTGAAACCATAATTCAAATGAACATTTGCAAACAGTGTCGCAAACTTACATGGTTGGAACTACACCTCTCAACCTGTGGTTAGAAGCATAGTTTGTTGTTAGTAAGACATGTGGGCTTGAATAAATATGCTCTTTGGCAAAATAAGCAAGCTAACATTTTAATTTAGCATTTCAATCTCTGTATTTTTGCACGTCCTCAATAAGCGCAGTTTTTGAACTCTCATCACAAATGCACAAAAGGAAACCCCAGAGTATGACGTAAGAGGGAAACCGTGATGAATCAAACATCAAATAAAGCAAATTGACAGGGAACAAAAAATAGCAAATTAGTCATCAGGTGCCATGTTTAACACAGCAGCATCTTAGAGATCTCGAATCAGTTAAATAGCAGACGTTTTTACTCCACCACATGCATGTGACATCATTAACAATAGCCCTATATTGTTGAACTAATGTGGTTCAAACGACGGACGTGTTCGGCAAACAGTCGTGATTAGGTAGTTTGTTCCCACAACAATGCATCGTACTATGGTGGTTAATCAGTGAGTTACGTCATTGTACGGGAAACACACCCCTGGTCCAGCCTAGTAATTAGCTGGTCTAAGGTGGTAATTAGCTGGTCTAAACTAGTCTAACCTGGCAATTAGGTGGCTGGTCTAAACTAGTCATTAACTGGTTTAAACTAGTCGTTAGTTGGTCTAAGATGGTCATTAGCTGGTCTAAACTAGTAATTAACTGGTTCAAGATAGTCATTAGCTGGTTCAGGCTGGTCTAAGGTGGTCATTAGCCAGTCTAAACTTATTATTATCTGGTCCAAAATGGACATCAGTTCGTCTAGTCTTGTAATTAGCTGGTCCAAGCTGGTCCAACTTGGTCATTAGCTCTGGTGTTGTTGTGTCTATTTAAAGGGGTCATATGATGCGATTTCAATTTTTCCTTTCTCTTTGGAGTGTTACAAGCTCTTGGTGCATAAAGATCATCTGTAAAGTTGCAAAGACTAAAGTCTCAAATCCAAAGATATATTTTTTATAAAAGTTAAGAGTTAACCACTCCTACCTAAAACGGCTCGTTCTAACACGCCCCCACATGTCTACGTCACGATGTGGGAAGGTTTGCATAATGCC